CGCATTGCAGCTGTCTTCTTTCTGACCCAACAGCTCTGCTTGTCCAGGCACTTGGATCAGCTTGCTCTGACAGGACGCCCATGGCGAGAGGGAGCCTCAGCGCGTCCACGCTGCTGGAGACCTCGGGAATCCTCCTGCCAGAGGCCCCAGGAAGCCGTGAGGCGCTGCTTCGACCGCGGGAGCTTTGAAGTGGCTGGCTTTGGGAACCAAGCGCCCCAAGGCGATCCAACATTTTGTCAGTTTGGCTCGTTGGTTTGGGGATGGATCTGGAGTAACCACTTTCCATTTGAACAGCCAGGCACAATTGATCCGACGTCTGTTTGGTTTGGTTCGCGACACTCGTGAAGCTCCCGAGTTTCGAGTTGGAACCCGAGCCGTTGAACTTATTTGCGCCTGGCGAAACTGGGAAACTCGTAACGAGCGATCGCTTGTTTTGGAGATATCTTCTGAAGCTTCAGACCTTCCGGCCTGGTTCCAGCTCAATCGTTAATCGAAGTCAAATCTCTTTCCACTCGGAGCAACGTTCTGGAATCAGATTCGAGCCCCACAGGTTTGGCTTCGTCCGCGTCTTGCGCCGCAGGCTTTCCTAGTCTAGGGCAACTTTTGGGTACAGTCGAAGTGAATGTCAAGGAATCCCTGAGATCCGAGAAAGCGAGTGGCAAGACAGGCTGAGGCTCACTGCGAGAGTTAAGGGGCCATTGTGAGGCTCAAGGCTGAAAGGTGCTCCAGAGATGGGTTCAGGATGACAGTTGCCGCCTCCAGGATGTAGCTTTGCTGTAGTTGCCCCTGAAACATCAACAGGGGGTCCATCACTTTGAAGCAATCTCGAACCTCGATTCCCCAGCTTGTCAGGCGACGTGAAAGAGACATGTGACATATCCTTTGCCGGTCGTAAATCAGCTGGATACGCTTTCACTCAGGTCCATGAAAGCTCTCCAGTGTCTCGGATGGGATATGTTGGGCGGGACTCAGTATATTGCATTTGCCGCAATCCTATTTTGCGCATCCGCGCAAGCACAACTTGGGACAACCTCGACCACTTGGGCGAATGACACTACCCTCAAGTAGTTCGATTCTTTGTTCCATGCAAGTGACATTTTGTCATTCGAGAAAATTTTTGCGCGCCTTTTCCGCAACTGTGGCACGGCAGTAACTTCTCTAGAAGTTCTGGGTTGCAGCGACGATTGCAAATCCTCACCGGGGGGATTTCCTTGCTTCAGTGATCAGGTGTATAAATTCAAGTAATGCCCCAGATAAAATGCCAGACACCCCTGCATTTCTGCGTATCTTTTCCTCAAGCGATACTGATGGTGCTCGTTGGGATATGTGAACGAATGAGGCGGACGCTTTTGCTACACTTTCAAAGGCAACAAACATGAAACTGAAACCATCCTGGCAAGGGCGCCCTGAGAGAAAGTAGCAAGGGAGGAGCCCGGTCCCAGCGGAATCAGTGAACATTTTGCACGTTCCACAACCTGCTGGGGGTCTTCCAGACATCAACTAGCCGACCGGTTGTGCTGGCGTGCTGCACGAGATTGATTTGGCAGTTCTGTGATTGGCAGATTTTGTTGCTGTGTGTATGGAAACAAGCAATGCGGGGCTACATGTTGTTTTTTAATGCTTTTAATACTATGCTTTGGCTGGCCACTTTCTTGTCTTCAATGCTTTGCATTCCCTAGGAAGCAACTCAACCAAACCTATACGTAGTACGCAATAGATGACAACTGATCGGATCCGTTGTTCTCTACGTCCTCATCCAGGTTTGTCTGAACACGATGTTTTACAGGGAACCAAAGGGAAACCATCCATGTAGAGGGTTCCCTAGTTTGAAACCTCGCCTTTGCTGGTTGGCCCACTGCGCCCTTGGTCAATTGCTATCCCTTCAACCACGGCCTATGGATCTGCCCTTTTTGGGATTGCCAGGTGGGGCCTCCTGCTCACCTATGTTGTCTATGCTGATGCCTCAGCAGGTCTCTCTCATAGAGGGTGTCCCAAAGTCGGGGACGTCATCTGCCCAGCCCTTCACTGGGTGAAACAGCTTCATGCAGTATGCAACGGAACATAGATATCGAACAGGGGTACCGGGTGCCAGTTTCCTCGAGTCAACTGCGTTGAGGTTTGCAGAGTACTGGCGCCCGCAGATCAATGCTTATTTTAGTAAAGCTCCCTTGATGTGGCCTGCAAGCAAGCCCACAGGGTCCGGATCCTCCGAATCCGCAGCCAAAAGGGAAATGCAAAATGTTCAAGCCATTTCTGAGCTTGAAAGGACCGCGGGTCAGCTGTGTGATAGCTGTGGGCTGTGATAGCTGAGCTGGAAGTTCGGGGGAAGGCTGGCGGCTCGGGAAGGCCGAGGGCCGCGGCTGTGCAAAACTAGCTGGGGGAACGTACGTCCATAAGTCGCATCACTGCAAATGCTCTCCCCTCACCCCCCAAAATTCTGCGGCCTTCGCCTAGCCCCAGCCTTGCCCCAGACTCAACCCCATCGCAATTCAGTCTAGCCTAAGCCACTGCAAAGCTGGTGAGCCGGGCTGTGGTACAAATGTTCGGCTTGGGCTTTGAAGCTTGCTCGGCTTCAGCTGACGCTGGCGAGCTAGACTGGGACGCATGCGCTTGCGCCTGGCTTTGAGGGCTTGGGCCTTTCCCCAGACTCAGCGCCAGTTGCATGCAGCTGGCTACACGGGGGACATGAGCACGAGATGAGTCCCAGCTCTCACGCACCAACACCTCAGACTCAGCCCCCGAGCTCCACCAAGCCAGCTGGGGATTTCGTTATGGTTGCAGGCGCCCGGTGACAAGCTTTGATGGTGTTCGGTCTTATGAAGAATCTTTGGGATTATGGGGGAGAGCTTTGCAAAAACATCTTCCTGGACACGTGGGTGTGTGTTGTTTTTGATGGTCTATTTTCAGCGTGGCTCAGCGAAAAGGGAAGCCAGAAGGAAGCCCACGTTTTTTTGTGTCATCTTATTTTGATACTTGAGCGAGCAAGGCAGAGAAAGGCAAAGCAGCCTTGTGTTGCTCAGGTTGGCAGCTACGCGGTGGATTTCTGGGTCATAGGCGAAGCTGCGTGTCTTGGCACGGGGGTGGGGTGGGGCGGGGGCCAGGGTTGAACCCATACTTTTGGGGTGAACTTCGAACGTGCCTTCTCTTCCCTCTTTTACCAAGGGTCCAATTTGAGGGAAGTTGTGCAACACAAATTGTATGGGAGTGTCTTTCAATGGCGGACCCCTTTTGGCTGGTAGTTAAAGGGAAGCCAAGAGGAAACCGTCCATTTTAGGGACCCCTGTTTAAATAAACTCCCTGATCTTGACATTTAGCGCTCTTGCCCACAGAGTTGGCCACAGGCCAAGCTATTCTGCGTCAGTTGTACTTGACCTGTTTGTCTTTTCCATGAGGAACGGCCTAGCACGCGGTTGGCCCTTTTTCCCGCGGAAGTGGGCGATCATACGATTTTGGAAGACCATCATCTTCTGAAAGCGTTTCCACTCCCCTTATTTAAACAAAAGACCGGGAAAGGCAGGGTCACAGCATCCGGTCCAACAAGGACTGGCTCCCGAGCTGAGGCAATCCGAAGAAATCATTTGAGCCGCCGACTCCTTCCCCCACGGAAACCAGAGGGACCCCAAGACCCCACAGCGGCCATAGTGTTCTGCCTCCAGTGCGGGCGGCAAAATGCAGCTCGGGCGATTTCAGTCACCTCTCCTTTGCCCCGCAAGCCCTGCTTGCGGGGCATGAGGCAGGTGGAACTTGCTTTCTCTGCAAATCCCCACGGAATCCGGCATCATCTGGTATGGGGTCGGAGCCCGCTTTTTTGAGAAGGGTTTCCCCTTCTCTTGGAGAGAGCTGACGCCTTCCATGCACTTGCGCGTCAATAGTTAGGAGGGGATTTGCAGATGCTGGTTCGAGAGTCTGTTGGCATTGACAGCGTTTCGAGCTTTGTCCACTGACCATTGTTGCCGCAAAGCAAACACCATGGCTGTGATATAAAGAGAAGACATGACGACCGAGATCTAGGCCGCCCGAATCCCGGTGCGGCTTTCCGAGGCTTTGAAACTCAGGACGGCTCCGAGCCAGCGAAAGAAGCCGACTCCAGTTTGGTTGCTTCTTGTTTACCTTTGACAGGCACCACATTTCTCAAGGTGCAAGGGTTTTCCCGCAGTTGTGTTTCTGAATTCGTGGCTGACTGTTCTCGGAGCTCTTTCTGTTTCACTGGGCCGTCGGAGTCATGGACTTCCAAGCGGGGCTAGAGAGGGGGAGAGGGGGGTATTCAACCTCCAACACAGCCGTGGTGCTTGGTTTGGGCTTAGGCTTATCCAGATAGCTGCCTCACAGGCCCCCATAGACCCTTGGTCGGAAGGAATTTGCGACCTGCGCCGACCAAAGACCGAGTTCGGAGCTCTGTCAAAGCGAAACGCCGACGGACACGGAGTGGGCTGCCGGCCTCGAGCGCCTTGTGTCATTGAAGCATAGATTCAAAGACTTGAGATTGAGATTGATATATTGGGAGATTGGAGTCTCGCAACCTGTTGGCCCCTCGCAGCTTTGGTTTTAGTCTTTCTCTTGACCGTAAGCGGGCAAGCCACATGCCTCGCAGAGCTTTCTCTTGTTGAGGCGTTTTTCCGTGATTCGCGGATAAGCCAACAACTGAATCCCCCTATGGAGACCGGGCAGCGGAGAGGCCGGACCTTTATAAGAAACTGCTTGAGCCGATGCACTGGTGCAAGACAACCCAATCTTACCTATTTCCTTCCCCAGAATTAGCTCGCCTTTTTGCTTTTGGCTTTTTCGGGTCCCTTTGTTTTCCACTAACCAGGCAACACATATATGTTTTGCAGGGGTTCTAATTCCAGCCTAGTTTCGGTTTTCAGAAATTGCTGCTAAAAGAGCTGTGTGACTCTGTTTAGCGATTGCTGTTGACAGGCTCTTTGCCCGTTTCCTGGCAAATGGGCGCATTCCTGCCGCACGCTCTGTTCACACCTCCCACACCCGGCGCCCCGCGCCAGCCCAAGCCGGCGGTCGGCAGCATCGAGGCGCGGTTCGGGAAGCAGCCGGGTGCCGCGGCTTCGATGGGTTGCGGCGGTCTCAAGAGCTGAAAGGGACTTGACTTTTTCTACGGGTAGATCTAGTGTTGGGGTCAGTTTTTTATTTGTTTTGGCCGCGATTGTTGAGATCTCGGCTACTTTTGGCCACAAAAACTGACAGCTTCCCAATGTTGAATGGAATTTGGGAAGCTGCAGTTTGTGAAGGCGATGTGTTGAAGATCTGCCCCTTGCTTCGTTTCCTTAGTGCAGTGCGAGGCTTTTTCGGGCCTCGACGAAGGTCAAATCGAAGGTTGAAAGCGATGCGCTCCGCGCATGGCCAACACTCAGAGATCTGTTGCGCTCAGAGGTTTTCGTGAGTTGGTCCAAGGCCCACCAGGCGGGCTCCCTTTTTTTGCAGGTGCAATAGCAAACAGCCGTAAATCCCAGCGTATATAATCCACATGGAGCTACACGGTGAAAGCCACCCCACCCCACCACACTTCACCCCACTACACCCCACTACACCCCACTACACCCCACTACACCCCACTACACCCCACTACAGCCCCTACCCCAACCCCCAGCCCACCCCCCACTCCACCCCAGCCAAGCTGACTTCACCCCACTTTTGTGGCCGCCTTTGTATTTCCTTACATGGTTCTGGGTCATTTATTTTAATACCGGGTTTGATTGTGACTCACTTGTCACAAGACCTCACGGGAGAAATCGTCACGGCAGGTGCTGCTGCGGGGCCGGGTGGCCAGCGCTCGGCCTCTGCGCGCCACACAGGCTGCTGCCGCTTTTGCTGTTGGTTAGGAAAACCAAGAGGAAATCACCCACCCCATTGTGCGAGTTCCCCTTTCTTGGTATACATATGTATGTATCTAATATGTGTTCTCCACTCCATTTCTTATTGCAAGTTTGGGCTGAAAGTAGGATTGGCATCCACCCAACTTGCGTCTTCCAGAGATGTACTTGGACCTGAATGATTAGAATGGGGTCGCAGGGGACTTGAATACCCAATTCAGTCATGCTCAGAAGACAATGTGTGCAGTTATTCGCCCTCACAATACCGTTTCATCAACAATCGTGGACATGCACAGAACCCCATGTGGAAGCTGTCAGGGTTGGTGGGAGGAGAGGGTAACCTCTTGATGTTTGTCAAACTCAGGGTGTCCCTTTTTGGACCCTACTGGCTCTGTCATGTTATGCTTCTAAATGGGTCCCCGAAAGGATCCACCGTTTTGACAACCCTTCAATCTTGTTGAAGTGTTGCAAGCGAACAAGGCGCAACATCTCAGGCACAATGGCTTCCGCTTGTCTTGGTGCCCTCTGCCGGGGTCGTTTGAAGGGAACAATTTGAGGTCTCACCAGCAAGACCTTCAGAGACCATGCGGGCGTTGCCAAAACGAGTTGGCCCCGGGGTAACAAAATCGTGGGACACAAATGCGGCGCCCATAAAAAGGAGGCGCCGCCCGGAAAGGAGATCCCTCTCCAATTTCTATGGGTCAGGGTCTGAGTTTGTTTGGATTGGTGGACCCACGAGCAAGCCTTCTGAGTTTCAATGACGAAAATGGGACCCTTCCACCTACTGTTGACCGAAGACTGATAGCGTTGCTGGGTGCCTTGGCCTCAAGCAAGTAGTGAATCCCGCAATTGAGAAGCTATTGTGGAGGCATCAATTCAGTTTCCCGGCGACAGTCATGCAGATCTTTGTGAAGACGCTGACTGGCAAGACCATCACCCTGGATGTGGAGGCCAGCGACACCATCGACAATGTTAAGGCCAAGATCCAGGACAAGGAGGGCATCCCACCTGACCAGCAGCGGTTGATATTTGCCGGCAAGCAGCTTGAGGACGGCCGCACGCTCTCGGACTATAACATTCAGAAGGAATCCACCCTTCACTTGGTGCTGCGCTTGCGAGGTGGCATGCAGATCTTTGTGAAGACGCTGACTGGCAAGACCATCACCCTCGATGTGGAGGCCAGCGACACCATCGACAATGTTAAGGCCAAGATCCAGGACAAGGAGGGCATCCCACCTGACCAGCAGCGATATTTGCCGGCAAGCAGCTTGAGGACGGCCGCACGCTCTCGGACTATAACATTCAGAAGGAATCCACCCTTCACTTGGTGCTGCGCTTGCGAGGTGGCATGCAGATCTTTGTGAAGACGCTGACTGGCAAGACCATCACCCTGGATGTGGAGGCCAGCGACACCATCGACAATGTTAAGGCCAAGATCCAGGACAAGGAGGGCATCCCACCTGACCAGCAGCGGTTGATCTTTGCCGGCAAGCAGCTTGAGGACGGCCGCACGCTCTCGGACTATAACATTCAGAAGGAATCCACCCTTCACTTGGTGCTGCGCTTGCGAGGTGGCATGCAGATCTTTGTGAAGACGCTGACTGGCAAGACCATCACCCTGGATGTGGAGGCCAGCGACACCATCGACAATGTTAAGGCCAAGATCCAGGACAAGGAGGGCATCCCACCTGACCAGCAGCGGTTGATCTTTGCCGGCAAGCAGCTTGAGGACGGCCGCACGCTCTCGGACTATAACATTCAGAAGGAATCCACCCTTCACTTGGTGCTGCGCTTGCGAGGTGGCATGCAGATCTTTGTGAAGACGCTGACTGGCAAGACCATCACCCTGGATGTGGAGGCCAGCGACACCATCGACAATGTTAAGGCCAAGATCCAGGACAAGGAGGGCATCCCACCTGACCAGCAGCGGTTGATCTTTGCCGGCAAGCAGCTTGAGGACGGCCGCACGCTCTCGGACTATAACATTCAGAAGGAATCCACCTTCACTTGGTGCTGCGCTTGCGAGGTGGCATGCAGATCTTTGTGAAGACGCTGACTGGCAAGACCATCACCCTCGATGTGGAGGCCAGCGACACCATCGACAATGTTAAGGCCAAGATCCAGGACAAGGAGGGCATCCCACCTGACCAGCAGCGGTTGATCTTTGCCGGCAAGCAGCTTGAGGACGGCCGCACGCTCTCGGATATAACATTCAGAAGGAATCCACCCTTCACTTGGTGCTGCGCTTGCGAGGTGGCATGCAGATCTTTGTGAAGACGCTGACTGGCAAGACCATCACCCTCGATGTGGAGGCCAGCGACACCATCGACAATGTGGCCAAGATCCAGGACAAGGAGGGCATCCACCAGCAGCGGTTGATCGAGAGGACGGCCGCACGCTCTCGGACATAACATTCAGAAGGAATCCAACTTGGTGCTGCGCTTGCGAGGTGGCATGCAGATCTTTGTGAAGACGCTGACTGGCAAGACCATCACCCTGATGTGGAGGCCAGCGACACCATCGACAATGTTAAGGCCAAGATCCAGGACAAGGAGGGCATCCCACCTGACCAGCAGCGGTTGATCTTTGCCGGCAAGCAGCTTGAGGACGGCCGCACGCTCTCGGACTATAACATTCAGAAGGAATCCACCTTCACTTGGTGCTGCGCTTGCGAGGTGGCATGCAGATCTTTGTGAAGACGCTGACTGGCAAGACCATCACCCTCGATGTGGAGGCCAGCGACACCATCGACAATGTTAAGGCCAAGATCCAGGACAAGGAGGGCATCCCACCTGACCAGCAGCGGTTGATCTTTGCCGGCAAGCAGCTTGAGGACGGCCGCACGCTCTCGGATTATAACATTCAGAAGGAATCCACTCTTCACTTGGTGCTGCGCTTGCGAGGTGGCATGCAGATCTTTGTGAAGACGCTGACTGGCAAGACCATCACCCTCGATGTGGAGGCCAGCGACACCATCGACAATGTTAAGGCCAAGATCCAGGACAAGGAGGGCATCCCACCTGACCAGCAGCGGTTGATCTTTGCCGGCAAGCAGCTTGAGGACGGCCGCACGCTCTCGGACTATAACATTCAGAAGGAATCCACCCTTCACTTGGTGCTGCGCTTGCGAGGTGGCATGCAGATCTTTGTGAAGACGCTGACTGGCAAGACCATCACCCTCGATGTGGAGGCCAGCGACACCATCGACAATGTTAAGGCCAAGATCCAGGACAAGGAGGGCATCCCACCTGACCAGCAGCGGTTGATCTTTGCCGGCAAGCAGCTTGAGGACGGCCGCACGCTCTCGGACTATAACATTCAGAAGGAATCCACCCTTCACTTGGTGCTGCGCTTGCGCTGAGGCTGGTCATTAGGTTAGCCTTCCCTTCTTGCATTGAGTCTTTTTTTTAAGTGGACTATTTCAGATATGAGATTAAATTTACAGCCAGCATCTTCAATGAATTTGAGGCATGTTTGTATCATCGAACGGAGCCTAGTACTGCCTGGTAAAGCAAACTGTGCTTTTAGTGTGATCAATGGCTTTGAAGGCCTAGACAATGTGGAGGCCTTCAAACTCATTCTATAGTCAGGGCATGTCAGCCCGTTCATGCCTGTCTTTTTTGTGAGTGCTACAAATATGTAGGTACTTGATCCACAAGCAAGAACCAAGCCGACAACGGAATTCTAGCAATTCGGAGGAGCTTCAAGTGAACCGTCGTTTCCTCCCCAAAGAAGAGAACGCCGAATCATGAGAGTCAGAGCTAGAGACAGCTAAACCATGTACTACATGCCGTGAGAAGCTGGACGATGCCTCAAGCTTCTTTTGGTAGTGTGTGCGATTGAGTCAACCAACTGCTGGATTGTTATCGAGCTTGGCATCCTCATCGCTTCAAAGGCTCATTCGAGAAGGGACTGGCAGGACGCGACATTTTGTTTGTGCAACTCATATGCCAGATGGAGGGGCTGAAATTTCTGGACCAGAGCAGCAGAAGCTGTGGAACGGCCCCTCTGGATTTGGCGATGTACAGCAATCCTTGCACGAAGCCCTGGCCAAAACAACATGCACGGCATTGCGGCGTTGCTGGATTCTGGACTGAGTAAACGGATGCGAGCTCTGTTTGGATGGCTTCACGTTTCGGTCATTATAGCCCAGCCCAGCAAAGAGGCAAGCGGCCGCATGGAAGTCGCATGAACAGATTTGTTGCTGATCATCCACACGATTTTTTTCTGAAATTAGCACCTTTGATACGGTGTCACAAAGTGGCGCCGGGATTTTTCAGGGAGGTCGAGTGAGAGATTCTGCAGGGCCCGCCATGCTACGGGCGCGGAAGCCTGGACGAGCACGGGGGTTTGACCTAAAGCCATGGTTGATGAATGAAGGGTGGCCCAGGACTGGCCATCACCCTTTGATGAAGGGGGTGGCCACCCCGCAGTTCTGGAAGAATGAAGCATGGAGGGTGGCCCAGTTCAGAGAGTTTTGTTGAGTGTTAGGGGGAATCTGCCAATATTAAACTTCGGCTTCATTCTCCTCGGTATCCGCGGCCCTTGCGCCCGAAACTTCGGAGGTTGAGGAACTGTGTGATTCCCTGCGCTGACCGGTTGCCTAGGCACATGAAGGGTTGACAAGATGTTGACACTTTAACGAAGGCATGAAGTCGGGTTCCTTTTTGATCAGGAGCCTGGAATTCCTCATGCATTTCATGATATTTCTTTGTCATATTGAATCGCTCTACACACAAGCCTCGGAACTTGTGGGATGCCCAGCAATTGAAGAAGAGGGTACTTCTTATATCTCCGTATCCGAAATCTGTTTGATTGAGATTTCTGGGGTCGGAAACCCTACTGATCTGAACTGTACGGATCTACCCCTGTGCTTGGACTTAGTGGTTACAGAGAGGATCTTCGCTACCTCTCACTTTCTGCGCCAACCTCTGCCAAGGCCATGCGAGTCGGATGGCGGGCTGTACCTTTTTGTCTTCGATGACGAGCAGGCGAGGGACATCGAGAGAGTAGAAGGAGCATGCTTGGGAGAGGTCGACTAAGTGGGTGTCCGGCTTTCCCAGACATCGGCACTTGAAACTTCTGTTTCGCTGAACCACAACTATCCCGAACTGGATTAAGCGAGGTAAGTAAAGCAGCGGCATCAAGAGCTAGCAGCAACGAGAGCAACGAGAGCAACGAGAGCAACAGCAACAGCAACAGCAACCCCACCACCACCACCACCACCACCACCACCACCACCACCACCACCACCACCACCACCACCACCACCACCACCACCACGACCACGACCACGACCACGACCACCACCACGACCACGACCACGACCACCACCACCACCACCACCACCACCACCACCACCACCACCACCACCACCACTGCCCACAACAACAACAGAAATAGCAACAAGAGCAACAGCAAAAGCATCGAGAGCCAGCAGCAACCACTGCGATGCCAAGACACCAACACTTGCCGATTCGCCAGGCGCACGGGCAGCTGGTGCGCCAGAAGTTCGGCCAGATGAGCTGCGAGGAGTGTCCGAGGCTTCCGCTTGGAGCTCGCGGAGTGACCCGGAGAAGGTCTCTGGGTGAATCATAGCAACCTCACACGACCTCACCCCAAATGGTGGTTTATGTGGGGAATACCTCCCCAACCACATTGGTCACGGAGTATGTTGCATTGCTTCAGTGGAATCTCGCCCGCCCTGCGGGATGCAATCATGTCAGCTGGGTTGACCTGTACCTTGATTTTTTGATGTGGGGTCGAACTCTTGCACCGGCTCGCATGCCGGGATCCAATCATGTTGCCCCTGACTAACGATGGATAACTTCGGACCAGCTTGCACAAGTGGTACCTTCGCGGCTTGGCAAAGACGTGAACACTTGGACTGTAGCATTTAAATATCTTTGCCGCAAGGGCATCATCACCTTTCCATTTCAGATTATTACGCATGCTCAAAGCATCCGACGTATAGGTTTACTCATGAAGCACGGGCGGGTTGCTCATCGGCCTCTCCTGCTTCACTGCATTAGGGGGCCATCCTGGCTCCAACGTAGGCTGAGGGGCATCAGTTCCACTCCGCGGGCTTTGAAGTTCCCCCTGCTTGTGATTCCAGAATCCGACTAGGGCTCTTTTCGATGGCTCTTTCGGCACCGCTATGCGCGGCCGGGAGACACTGATGGTGGCAAGGCAAAAAGGTTGGTGAAATATTATAATTCACTCAGAGGTCTGTGAGAGATGGAGCAACAACTGAAGCGGGGTCCTCGATTGCCTGCAAACTCTTTGGGCTCAGCTGGTGCAAGAAATCCTTGGTGCAGATTTCCTCCCGCTCTAACTCTATGAGAAGTGAGTTCCAGTCCAAGGTAAAGATACAAGCAATTATAATGCTAGCACAAATATTGATCAGATAGACATATTAACAAGGAAGCAAAACAAACCTGGTGCAACTTCTAAATGTAGGGGGCACGCGAGGAAATACTGGAAATTGCGTTTTCATTATTTTGGAGGGCCTGGAGAGGCCTGGACATAATGGAAATTGCATTTTCATTATCTTGGAAGGCCTGGACAGGCCTGGAAATAATGGAAACTGCGTTTTCATTATTTTGGAGGGCCTGCAGAGGCCTGGAAATGGACATTGCATTTTCATTATTTTGGAAGGCCTGGATAGGCCTGGAAATAATGGAAATTGCATTTTCATCACTTTGGAGGGCCTGGAAAGGCCTGGAAATCATGGAAAAATAAAACTAAAAAGTAGCGGCGGGGTTGGCAGCCCCTCCATGATGGTCGCAGAAGTGATGATTTGAATAGGGGTGCAATTAAAGCTCTGCAAGAAGTCTAAAAAGTAGCGGGGGGGTTGGGGGGGGGGGGGACGGCAGTCCCCCCCCCATGATGTTCGAAAATTGATGGTTCAACTAGGGGCAAAAATGAAATCTCTCTAGAAAATCTAAAGCGTAGCGGGGGGGGGGGTTGGGGGGGCAGCAGCCCCCCCAATGATGTCCGAAGAAGTGATGATTCAAGTAGGGGTGCAATGATTCAAGAAAGGGTGCGATAGAATTTAAAAGGCAGTGGGAGCGGCTTCCCCTATGATGTTCGAAGAAGTGCATGCATACAGACATACATGGATTATACAGATTACCTAAAATGTTTTATTTTGCAGCAATTTCTCGCGAAGTTGGACGCTCGAAAAAGTGATGATTCAATCAGGGGGTGCAATTCAATCTCTGCAAGAAATCTAAAAAGTAGCGGGGGGGAGGCGGCAGCCCCCCCCCATGATGTTTAAAGAAGCAAGTAGGGGTGCAATTACTTTGTTGGGGGGAGGGGGCTTCCCCCCCCAGGATGTTCGAAGAAGTGATGATTCAAATAGGGAGGAACTGGTGATGCTGATGATGCGGGAAGCGAAATCCAAAAATGCAAAAGCCAAAAAGCCCGGAGAGGAACTGGGAAAGCAGAGGATGCGAGGGGCCAAAGCTGCCAAAAGCCGCATAAACCAGCAAAAAACCGCAAAAGCCAAAACGCCACCAGCAAACGAGGAACTGGGAATGCAGAGGATGCGAAAAAGCCAAAGCCAAAAAATCACCAAAAGCCGCATAAACCAACAAAAAACCGAAAAGCCCAGAAGTCGAGAAGCCAAAAAGCCAAGAAGCAGAAAAGCCCAGAAGCCAAGAAACCAAAAAGCCAAGAAGCCAAGAAACCAAGAAGCCAAGAAGCCAAAAAGCCAAGAAGCCAAGAAGCCAAAAACGAAAAAGCCAAGAAGCCAAGAAGCCAAAAGCGAAAAAAATACATTAAAAAAAACCGAAAAAACTCCTAGAATATATTTGTTGGCGTCTGGCGCCTTGTCTATGCGACACTCCAGGACATGCGGCATCGCGCCAACTGGGCGGGAAACTCAAGTCGTTCTGGGGCCGAACGGCTTTTTGCAAGCGGGAGGTCTGTGAGCTGACATGAAAGGAATGGTCATGTCATGTCCTTTGTAGGTTCGTTTGTTTGAACATGGATGGGAATGGTGCCCCCCCCCGCCCCCCCCCCCCCGTTCACCCCTCAGCCTGCCCCAGCGGGATTTGTGATCTTGCGCATGCGCACAGCCTCGTTGCAAGATGGTTAAAATCAAGTTCTGGCGGGACTGGTCATTTTACAAGCGCACTGCTCGAAATGTGTAGGTGACAAGCAATCATTGGCACTCTGGCTTGCCATGGGCACAATCCCCAGACTTGGGCTGGTAGGTATGGTCGTTGACACATGGGGTTGAGTGGCACTTGTGGCTGTTTCCGAATCACACGAGCGCATCTCCTTGTGGCCCTTGGGGCGTCCCTTATGTTTGGTTGATTTTTGTGCTTCACCCAGATTTGACATGCCGCTTGACTCACTTGACTTCAAGGTGTGACAATCTGATTGGCTCCCTAGGCGCCTATGGTGCTGAGGCCCTTCCCATCCGCTTCGAGAACAGCGAACAGTTTCTTTGGCCCGTAGCCCCAGCCTTTCCATGCGGGCGTGGGCTTCAAGGTGAATGTGGGAAGGATCCGCAGAAGCTCCGGCCCACAGCAATGCCTGCGATGTTTGCACGTAGAAGTGAGGTGATGCGGACTTCACTGCAACTCCAGATACAGACGTGAGAAGCGCTCACACATGTAGTGGGGGACATGTTTACTCAGTGGGCTTGAGCGGCATGGTAAGGTCCAGCCCAGGGCGAGTGTGATTCATTGCGGTGCCTGAGGAAGGAGAACATCACGGAGGGCATTCGACCGCGGTTCTGGTGCCGACGGATGCCGTTCGTTGTTTGCTTTCTCTCCAAATCAGCGATCCCTTTTGGGAGAGAGTGGGATTCTGTTCTATGTGTCCTGCAAGTGCTGGCCAATCGGTTTCCACCTGTGCACTGGACATTTTGTGTGGAGTGTTTTTCCTGCAACGAATGCACAATTGCAGAACAATATGCGGAGGCCCAGACTGATTCACATTGATAACGTATTCAAACTGCAGAACCGGCGCATAGGCCAAAAGCATTTTTCCTCCCTGGTGATTCTTGAAAATCAACAGGCACGTGCTCTGTTTTGCCCATCTACCTATTGGTAATCAAAATTTAGCAATGAATTTGCATGGGGAGCTCCAATGATGATGATGATGATGATGATGATGATGATGATGATGATGATGATGATGATGATGATGATGATGATGATGATGATGATGATGATGACGATGACGATGATGATGATGATGATGATGATGATGATGATGATGATGATGATGAGGACGATGAGGACGACGATGACGATGACGATGACGATGACGATGACGATGACGATGAAGATGATTGTGATGATGATCATCAGCATCTACATCAGCAGCACATCACGCTGGATTCACTGGAAGGATGCAGAGCAGGCAAAGCTGTTTCTGAGCACCAGGGCCTCTGAACGTCTGAGCTTAGCCAACACCTGAACGTGTGAATCCCCTGGTTTGGTGAGTTCTCGAAAGCCTACGGAGGCCTTCCAGAGAATCACTGGGCATGTGCTTTTAAATGGGGCATGTTTGGGTTGGTTTTAAGTGGAACCAAAAGGACCACCCCATTTCTTGGAGTTCCCTATCCCCCCCCCCCCCCACCATTTGGAGCCCCGCAGGTACTTCGTCTTTGCGGCGTGCGGTGTCCAGATGGCCAGGGACCCGGATCCCGGACTCGTCTTATTGTCACGGGGTGTTAGGGGGTGGGTGGGTGGGGGGTGGTTAAAAGTTTTATTGGAATTTAATATTTGTAAGAGTCATAGAGCCATCGAACTTGCGTAGGTGCAGGACTTCGTGCCACTTTGAGTCGGCGCGTGTCTAGTTTATCCATGCGGTTTTGTCTGACCTTAGATACGCCCACGCCCGTTAATTAAGATCTCTCGCGGGAGTCCATAGTTAAAACCACCAAGGGCTGATTGGGGATGTTTTTGCAACATGGGAATGGGTCCATTTCGTAAATTGGCAAGGGGGGGTGTTTTCCCTGCAAACGTGAAGATTCGCCACATTTAACGGGGACACCCCAGCGATATCAACCGGAGGTTTCCTGGGTTCATGACCTTTGGGGTGGGAAGTCCCTCATGTCCCATGCGGAAGATTCGGGGACCAACAAAAGGTAAGGAAGATCGCGACAAATCACAGGGGTTTTGTCTCAAGCCGGGTCTGGTAAAAGTGGCAAGGGTTTCCTCTTGGTTTCTCTTTCAGCACCAACTGCAAGGAGTTTCCCCACTCGGAGAATGCCTCCTTTCGCAGAATGGTCCCGGCGTCGAGGTGGTGCCACCCGCCTTTGACATCCACGCAACGAACATCCTGCAGGCAGGGCTCAAACGGGCCATGCCATGGCAGAGGGCCATGCCTGTCCGATTTAGAAGATATTCTTCATGCACACTATGCTGGCGCTTGCTGCCGGTGGCAATGACCCAACAAAAACAGAGGCTGAGCAACGCCTTCAGGATGACAAACTGGTTGTGTCTTCGATTTGGGTTTGCTGAGCCTTAAGCCTTGTTCAGCAGAGCTACCACTGATGACCCCAGTCATGGAAAAGTAAGGGGCGTTCTGGATGAAACAGGCCTTTGGTTTTGGGAGGGGGTGGAGGAAACCACGATTCACCTCGTAAGATTGGGGTCTGCAACATGTGGTTGCTCAGGACCTCACCTTTTCAGCAGTCCATTTGGACCCGACAAATTGACCCCGATTCAGATTTGCAACGGCGTTGCAGTTTCTACACCTGCCAATTTTTCGAGGTTCACGTAGTCATTCTAAGAGGGAAGCAAGTATCAAGGGCACGTTCCAACGCCCAGCCCCCTGGTCCTGACTGTTGTTCTGATATTTCCTGACATTGATCATGCAAGTGTCAGCGAAAGATTGGCCCCGGGCGCCCTTCTTGGGACCTTCAAACCTGGGCAAATCTGCTGGCGGAAGTTTTTTCCCCATGCGCGCGCCCATGGGAAAGCCAGGGCTTTCAGAGCGAGTTTGGCCTGGACCAGGAGGGCACTCTGCTGCTTCAGGCGCGGCGCTTCAGACGAACCCCCATGTTGGCCCCGGACTGATACACCCCTGTAAAATATAAATGTGGGGGTGGGGGGGCGCCTCCAAAAGTGGTCTGAGTCTCCACGAAAACCAGGGGGCACCTTTATATGAATAAGCAGCGGGTGTATGAATCCGGGGTCCACGCTAGAGGAAAAGATTGCACGGAAGGACTGGCTCGGACTTCGAGGAGTCGACCAAAAAACACCTCGCAGTTCTCAGGATGGTTGCCCAACGATTATGATTGAGCATTCTAGTTCCATAGCCATGTAGCAGTGGCCCAAAAATGGAACAAGACCCCCCCAATGACCCTGGTTTACAAAGTATGAGTGGGAGCCAGAACCCGCTTGAGCAGCGCCCACAACCCCGAATCGCTGTTTTGGTGCTCTACTTTTCAGGGTTGCGGTACGGGCGTTGGCCTCTTGTCCATACAAGTAAATGGGTTAATGGGTTTTGGGCTGGTTTTGTGCCATTGGACTGCTGCTTGATCCGACTTCCGAGCACTACGAGGCAGACCTCCGCAATGAATCCCAGACCGCTTCCTCTTGAGCTGGGCAAGGGGGCTTGTTCAGAAACTGATACCCTCCTGTCCACGGAACCCACGGACCCACCAAAGATTTCCATTTGAAAGGACCACTCCCCAGTTGCCCAGTGGGTTGCTCCCCTCCCTTCCACTTGTTTTTTTCTTCCTGGTTTGGGGTGCCCCTTTAAAGTCGGCCCACCCAAACAAGTCAACTCGAGTGCCTTTTTTCCCCGATCTTCCCCGATTTTCCCTCCACGTCTGAGAGCTTCGGCTCCCCGACGTCCGGCGTCCGACGTCGAGGTGACCGCCGCCGTGGGCTTCCTGGGCTTGGCAGCCGAGTGACGGGTGATCCGAAAGGCCGACGGTTGGGCGGGCCCCGGCCCTCAAACGGCGGTTTTCGCTTTGGCCCCCCAAACAAAGGGGTGTTCCCTTTGATGTCACCAAAGGGTACACTGAAAAAAAGACAGAGCAGAAAGGCGATCACCCTTTTTGCCCAGGTTGTTCAGTGAAGCCCTAGTAGAAAAGCTTGAACAGACTGGCCGCTTACACACTAGATTCCCATGCGATCATTTCCCGTGGCTTTGGCTCCAAGATTTGTGCCAGAGGCAGCCACATCACACGGTGAGTTTCCGGCACTTTCTGATTGTCTTCAGATACCATGCGCGAGGCGATCTGCATCCACATCGGCCAGGAGCTTTGGTGCAGACTCGGGGAAGTTTTTTTCCCACGCGTTTTCCAAGTTGTTCCCATGGCAAGACGACTTGGGTTGACAGTGGCTGGTGATGCAACTTCTGGCAGGGGTTAAATGCATCGGATGAAGGGATTCCGATTTGCGACCCGTGCCCCAGGGCGGCGTGCAAATTGGCAACGCCTGCTGGGAGCTGTTCTGCTTGGAGCATGGCATCCAACCTGATGGTCAGATGCCGTCCGACAAGACGATTGGTGGCGGCGATGACGTATCACGCCTGACCTCTCAGGGCCTGTTTTGGCTTCAAAGAAGCATGCCCATGCATGGAACATGTCCGTCTCCCTGCGTCTTCCTCTCTTTCTCTTTCAATCCTTCCCTCGCTCTCTCTATTTCTCTCCTTCCATCCTTCTCTCTTTCTCCCTTTCTTTTTCTCACTTTCTCCCTTTCTCGGTTTGAGCGATGTATCGCGTGCATCATTTCGCGTGCATCATTTTGACTGAATACATTGGCAGCCTAAAAGCCAGGAATGATGACATGTCGGTGGTTGTGACTGTTGCAGCTGGGTTTGACTGCTGTCTGCTTGGTGTGCTTTGCGGAATTTCATTGTTTTGTGTATTCATTTTTTTTTTTAAATATTTGTGTCTTGTTTTTTTGCGCCGCTTTCCATGTTCTTGTTTTTGTTTCTTTTTGTTGCTTCTCTTTGCGTTCTTTCTTTTGTTATTCCTTTATTCTTTCTCTTGTTCTTTTTCTCCTTCTTTCTCTTTATGCTTATTCTCCGTTTCTTCCTTTGCGCTGTTTCTTGTGTCTGGCTTTCCTCCCCCTTCTTTCTTTCTCTTTTCTGCCTTCTTTTTGGTTTATCACGTTCTTCATTCTTTTTCTTTTTCCTACTTTGTTCGTTGTTCTTGGCTCTCCTTGTTGCGCTCTTCTGTGTGAATGCTTGTTGCCAAAATATTGTTGGTGTCTCTTCCCATTTGTTTTCCTGCTCGTTTCTCCTTTTTTGAATGTTGCCTTTTTGCGTTCTTTTTCCCCAGATATCTGAAAGCTGTAGGGGTTTTAACTTCTAATAAAGAGGGGACAATGGTTTGCGAGATTGACAGCAGGGTGCTAGGGGGCACGGCCGGGTGCTAGGGGGCATGCTGCAGTTGGGGTGCTGCTTTGGGGTGCTGGTGCAGTTGAACTGCTGGCGACGGCGCGGGCGAGTTTTTTTGAGATTGACGGTGGCGGCATGGGCGCGTTGTTTCCAGAATGACGGCAGGGTGCTGGGGCGCATGCAGTTTGGGGGTGCTGGCAGGTAGCTCATCAGGGGGGGGGGGCAGAGGCCTCCCCCTCATAGGCCGTCGTCGTAATGTTTCGTGGCTGGTTCAACTTCATGATGGCGCCAACACTACCATGATACTGCAGGAATCATTTCGATACCGTTCGCAGGTCATGCAGCACTCAACATCAGCATGATCGTAGCTGTGTCACCATGACGCTGTTTCCATCATCATGATGCTGTTCGCATCATCATGATGCTGTCGAACTCACCAAGATGTCATCTCTGCCTTAAATGTAGTGGTGCAGGTTCATGGCCGGTGTGTCAGCATGATGCTGTCAACATCATCCTGATGCTGCGAACATCATCATGGTGCAGGTGCAACCCTGAAGATGCAGCGTCATGGTTCGTAGCCGTGGTATCTGGGATTCTCCCCTTCCCGCCCCTCCCTCTGTCTATCTGCCTGGCAGATGGCTATTTGATTGCTTTGCTTTTCTTCCTGTCCTCTTGTGATGTTCGTCGGCCTGAAGAAATACAGTGCTGCTGGGCCCCCGCATGGCGTGCATTTCTGCAGTCTCTGTGACGTGTGTCGCTCGCAGATCGCCCGTGTTGAGGCATTCAACACCTTCTTCAGTGAGACTGGAGCCGGCAAGCATGTGCCCCGTTGTGTGATGGTCGACTTGGAGCCGACAGTCGTTGACGAAGTGCGAACGGGCACCTACCGTCAGCTCTTCCACCCAGAGCAGCTCATCTCTGGCAAGGAAGACGCCGCGAACAACTTCGTCCCGATGCAAATTTAAGATTACATTGGTCCTTGGTGTTCCCAATCTTTTGGTTGTCATGCCGCGGCCCCGTCAAAAATGCACCCGCGAATGCTTTAGATCAGTTGAGGCACGCGGGCACTACACCATTGGCAAGGAAATTGTCGATTTGGTTTTGGACCGAGCCCCCTGAGAATTGGCAAAGTTGTATTTGGTGTTGGCAGGAGTTGCCGGATTATTTTTCCAGCCACTATCACCACCTCTTTTCGGGCGCCGATTGACGGAAATCTAGGGGAGCTATGTGCACGGGTTTCATTCAATGTGGGCTTCCACTGATCGCCCAATGTTTATTGGACGTTTGCGTGACCTGTGCGTGTGCAATATTTGGCCGTCGAGGAATCCGGAAGCTCGCCGATAACTGCACCGGCTTGCAGGGCTTCTGCGTGTACAACGCGGTTGGCGGCGGCACGGGATCCGGCTTGGGCTGCCTGATGTTGGAGCGCTTGTCTGTGGACTATGGCAAAAAGAGCAAGATTTCCTTCACAGTTTGGTCGTGCCCACAGGTGGCAACTGCAGTGGTCGAGCCTTACAACACCGTGCTCTGTGTCCATTCCCTGCTTGAGCACACGGATGTGACCATCATGTACGTTACTTGGCAGCAAATTGCCGACTGGACACGATTCACCAATTAAACTCTCTAGTATATGCATGTATATGCATGTATAGTATATACATATACATTTGTATTCATATTGGCATACATACTTCATGGTAACTGGTAACTGAATTCGATGCTTGGACGCATGCTTTTTGGCGTGTTTGTTTGCCTAGGTGGTGCAAACCGGTGACATGGTAAGCTTCTAGAGTTGCTAGACATGATAACAGCCAACAATCATCTAATTATGATGCATTGCACTTGCCTGTTTGTAGTAGTATTGAGTCAGTTTAGACCCACTGGAATTGCCCCGGAACTTGCAATTCCTTGATTGTGTGTGGGGTGGGTGTGCTTGGAGCAGAGTGCAGCAACAAGGACAATGAGGCGTTGTACGACATTTGCCGCAGGAACTTGGACATTGAGCGCCCGACCTACACGAACTTGAACAGGCTGATCGCTCAGATTATCAGCTCATTGACTGCGAGCTTGCGGTTCGATGGGGCTTTGAATGTGGACATCACCGAATTCCAGACAAATCTTGTGCCTTACCCGCGCATCCACTTCATGCTCACCTCCTTTGCGCCCGTGATCTCGGCAGAGAAGGCATACCATGAGCAGCTCTCCGTGGCGGAGATCACCATGTCCGTGTTTGAGCCTGCCTCGATGATGGCCACTCAGTTCTCCAACAGTGGTATTTTCAATCTTTTGGTTTATTGCTTTGTGGCTGAAATACAGTCCCACAAAGGTTTCCGTTTGTTTCCAGCCCTGTTGGACACGTGAGGTCAAGTGTGATCCTCGTCATGGCAAGTACATGGCCTGCTGCATGATGTGTCTCGGCCAGAATTGTGTGTAGGTGTGTGTGTGTGTGTGTGTGTGTGTGTGTGTGAGCGTCTCTGTGTCTGTGTCTGTGTGTGTGTGTGTGCATGGGTGCTTGTGTGAGTGAGTTACTAAAACAAATGCGCAGGTACCGAGGGGATGTCGTCCCGAAAGATGTGAACGCGGCGGTTGCCACCATCAAGACCAAGCGCACCATCCAGTTTGTGGACTGGTGCCCGACTGGCTTCAAGTGCGGCATCAACTACCAGCCTCCCACGGTTGTGCCTGGTGGTGATTTGGCGAAGGTCATGCGCGCATGCTGCATGATCTCCAACAGCACGGCCATCGCCGAAGTCTTCTCACGCATTGACCACAAGTTCGATCTGATGTACAGCAAGATCCTCGCTGCTATCTTTTTGGTGTGTGTCTCTGTGTGTGTAACACTGCAACATTCGCTTCGCCGCAACTGATACATTGATTTGCTTAAGCCATCTTACGCCAACGCGAGAATTCGTTGTTGCCCAGCGTGTGCTGTGTACATTGTGTAAACATCTACAGAGAAGAACACTGTCTTCTGATGTCTTTGGTTGGCTACATGCCGAGTCTTTGTTTTATGTTTGGATTGCCTCGAGATTTCGTCCTGGTTCCTTTGTTTCACTTCAGCATGTTTGGCTCTCTTGATGCCTTGTTTGCGTGTGTGAGTGGCCTCCTCCCTTTTGCTCCTGCATAGGACTGGAATCCCCAGACGCATGGAGCCTTTGAGTGGCTGTTTGAAACGAATCAAAGGCGTGCCTTCGTGCACCACTACGTGGGGGAGGGCATGGAGGAGGGCGAGTTCTCCGAGGCGCGGGAGGATTTGGCAGCATTGGAGAAGGACTATGAAGAGGTGGGCATCGAGACGGCTGAAGGGGAGGGCGAAGAGGAAGGCGCGGGTTGTTTTGGGCAGCTTTCTGGGTTGGGGTAGTTGTTGGCTGTTCCAAAGAAGCTCTCTTGGGTGGAACCTCCAAAGCTACTTTCCTCCAAAGCTTTGAGTAATTTGATCAAGACGCTCAATCCTTCGTCAGGCTACGGCGATGAGTTCTAGGCCGTCGCTCAGCGAGTGGCCGGGTTTGGAGTCCTGCCTCGTTTGCCCACAGAGCGGCCAGCGTATGGCGGGAAGGTCCGCTGTTGCAGGTCAATGCTGTCTTTCAGAGAGGTTTCATCCCATTGGTAGCAAGCATGCTACTGGAACCAGCAACAGTGGCGCAGCAGATCCACGCTACTTGTCTTCGGGGTTGACAAACAGTCGACCTCTTGTTCAAGTACTGCAGTTCGTGCAATTGGGGAAACACTAGAAGCGCGGGCTGCGGGCCTGGTCGAGCTGCGATCTTTGGCCCCTCCCTGGTTGATGTCACGCAGTCACTGGATCAATTCATTTGGCAAACACATGGGTGTCCCCATTTCGACTGGGGGTTTCCTAAGCACAATGAGCACGGGACCCACATGGGACCCCAGAGCCCGCATGACACCCACATGGAAGTGCACCTTGGAGCCGCCCTCATCCTCTTGCAATTCTCTTTCCAGCTCTCTCCCGTTGGGTCTTGGCGGTGTATCAAGACCAGGCGCCCTTTGACCTGCAAGCAAATTTGCTGGGTTCCTTTTGGTTCCTGACATGAGCCACGCAAAAGGGTAGCCTCAATCAGAGAGAAGTGCCATCGATTTCTCTGAATTTTTATGGCATTGGGCCCAATTGATGAGGTCAAATCCTGAAAGCCGCGGGTTTTCGCCGGACTTTCCTCTTGGACGGGCCCAACAAAAAAGGGTCGGTTTTCGCGCCGAGGCCTCTTCCTGGGGATTCGGCAGGCCAACCAGGCCACAGGATCCGAGGCCAGGAACAGGGGCCGGGAAGAGGGAGGAACAGCGAGGCCAAAGGGGGAGCGCTCCAAAAGGTTTTGTTTACACCTCACAGGTTGTTGTTTTTGTTTTGGGGAGACCCGAAAGGCTGATTTTTTTCCAATGATTTTCGCTAAAGGGAGTCCATCTCAGTGCGCATTGTTATAGAGAATGTTTTGCGGTTGCAGCTGATTGACGGTTGTTATGAGCCATTTTGCCCTCTTCCCCTAGTTGGCTCTGCGTGACTTTGGTTCAGCGTGCTCCATGGCCCGCGAATTTGCGCCAAAGCCCACGACAGAGCGAGATCAAAACGGAGAGAATATGGCTGTGGGTCAAAAATATGTACCCAAAATGGAATCCAGGTAAAAGGAAACATGGACCAAAACCTGCGGTCGCATGGAGGTTTCATTTTGACCGCCCATATGTTCAACTTGGGTCGCCCAAGTCAGCCCACCCCAGTGCTGCCAAAACCAAGTTCGAGCATCCGTCTCCCGAGGCCCTGAGGTCCCGCTCGCTCTTGCGGCCCTGGTTCCCAGTGCACCCGGAAGTTCTGGAGGCTTGGGGAAAATTTGTGAGTTCCAACTTTTTGAGAACCCCCATACAAGGCGGGTTGTCATGACATTGGCCACTCAAAACCTTAAACACCGTTTTTTTTTTTTTTTTGGGGGGCGGGAATGCTCAGGTGCATGGAAGAACCTTTGTAATCGATCAGCGCAGCTCGCACCCTAAAGAACCAAGACTGGGTTTGCCTCTGGAACGCCTTTGCCATAGATTCGAAGGTCAACTGGCCGACTCGCGTAGGTCTACTCGCTATGTCTATGGGAACACATGACGGCACATCCACGCATGTCGAGGTGAGTCTCAAAGGCTGAGAAGAGTTGGAAAGGGGTTAATTGAGGGGTCCTTTCAATTTCGGAAAGGGTTAGCCCTTGGAACGTGCCTGTTGCAGGAGTGTGAATATGCCTGTTACGAAGAGTCTGAATATGACATTGTGTACATTCAGCGCCCTAGAGGGTTCAAGGCTCATTTTTCAGTTGCTCCCTTTGGGACTGACATCGCGCGGAGTTTGCTGGCATGTTCACTGTCCAACAAAAACATGTCCAAACCATGGAGAGGGGTCCGCTTTGGATGTTTCAAGGTAAAAGGGCTCCAGCCATTTGTGGGGCGTGAAGCTTAGTTGTGAACTGCGCCATGTGTATTTTCTGGGCAGCATTAGCGCTGTCGTGTCGGACGCAACCGGGGCGTCATTTAACCTTGACTGAGGATCCTGCTGGTTTCAGCTTCCATGTCATCCATAGGCTACGGATGGGGAGGTTCCTGGGCTGGAAGGATGCCAAAAGAGCGCGCGGCATGTCAGAACCATTGGAGCTGCGGGTGAAACGATTGGTTCTGCAGTACCCAACTGAAGGCTGAGGCGTCGCCATCGCTTGACATCGCTTCTTGCTTGGCTGGCAAGCGCTTTGCGCAACTTGCGTCTAGAGAGTAAGGTGCTTCATGCACGGGCGCGTCTCTTTGCGGTTGCTGTGAATTGCAATGGCCAAAGGAGACGTTCCTAGTTTTGGGGCGGAGGTGGATTTCTCCACTGATCCAACTGTTTGCCATTAAAAAGCATACATGTGGAAAGGTTTGACTGCAGATCCCAGGTTTGTGCCAGCCCATCTGGGTACGTGTCAACAAAAATCGGAGCCCCTCAGCCAACCTGGCTTTGGTTTTCCAATTGGTTTCCCCTCAAACCAAGGTGAGAAGGGTGACTCAAGAACCGCACGAGCCCATGGCCAGGTGCGTGCTGCCTCTGCCTGCACTGGTCGGTCTTCGCCTCCGACGGGGAAGGCTTGCTGGCCCTGCAGGCGGGGAGAGGAGCCGCCGGAAGATGGGTGTGTTTTTCTTTGCCTGTTTTTGGTCGGCTTTAAAGGGCAATCAAAAAGAATGTCGTCAGTTTCGGGGGGGTCCCATACCCCGTACTACCGGAGATACAATATGGGTAGGGTTAGAAGGAAACTCGTCTAAGCAAATTTATACAGAAAGGCTGCACGGGATTTTTGGAAAGTGGCTTGGACCATTTTTTGGCCCATCTAATATGGCGGTCAGACGACAGTGAAATATTATGGTGAACATGGGGTCAGACGCCCCCGTTTAATATATGGGGCGTCAAACCCCACCAACCTGGGAATACGGAAAATGGATCCCCTCAAAACCCACACACACACACAGCGATATGGGGCCAAGTGGATGAAATGAGGGAGACCTTGAGAAGAACGGACATGCCACACGACGCCGTGCCGAGCATTTCATCATGCCCCCTGACTCTGTTGCAAGACTCTGTTGCAAAACTCTGTTGCAAGCCTCGGCGAGGTGGATGGCATTTGTCTTCCTTGTAGAAGGCCAAGATGAAGTGAGCGTGTCTTTTTGGGATACCCTTTTCGGGTTTGGTTCAAAGGAAAATCACGGTGAAACCAGAGAACAACTGGAGGTTCCGATTCCTATTTTGAGACAAACCCAAGTGGCCTAACTGTGGGAAGAGCAGTTAGATGCGATGTCGATCTGCATGGGCCTGAGAGTCAATGCCTTGTTCAGGCTAGGGAGTTGTACCACTCAACGACTCGGACCTCCAAGAGAACAGCTACCAAACCACCCTTCCGAGTGGTCCAAGGCCAACAAAAAAGAACGCTGAGTCAGTCAAAGGGGTGTTCTGCCGGGTGTTCTGAAGGTGGTATGGCCGGGAAGCGCGCGTAACGCCCCCAGGTTGCGGGCGTTGGCCTTCTGGCAGGTGCCAAGGCGTGCGGCGAGCGTATGCGCGTGGCTATGTGTGTGCGGCGATTGTGCTTGCGCGCGCGTGTTTGTTTGTTTTGCGTGTTGTTTTGCTCGTTTGTTTGTTTGTTTGTTTAATTGTTTGTTTGTGTTTGCCTCGAGATCGGACCCTTTCGAAAAGCAACTGCGGGGCTTGCAGGGACGAGTGTTGGCAACTTGATGCAGCCTCGAGAAGGCTTGAACAGAGAAATGCAAACTTTGAGCATGGAAATCAGGACAGTGATCAAGCCTTAGAGCCCCCAAGTGGAGAATAGAGAGAGACAGAGAGAGATAGAGAGAGAGAGAGAGAGAGAGAGAGTGAGAGAGCTCATGGAGCTCAGGTGTGAATGTTAAGGGTTCAGGAAGGGTAGGTGCACGGTTCGTGCTATCGCAACCCAGGGAGTTCGGTGAGAGATCCGGAAATCACTGGAATGTGGGTTTTTCATCGGGAACAGACTGCATTGCGGGGAAGGCTCGATGTTCCATGCCTTTCCGCCTTGTGCAGCTTTGAACGTTCAGGTGGTTCCGTATTCTCATTCATACCCATATATGGCAAGGATCATCCGATTTTCCTCAAGAAATGGTCAGCTGGGGGTGGTTTCATCGAATCGTGCCGAGTCCCTGCTCGCCATCTTGCAACTGCTGCTTGCCAAAGGCCTGGCTTCAAGCCGATTGGGATCCATGCGCTTCGGATCCATTTTGGGCATCAAGTTTTACCGGGGGACCGCAAGTTTGGGTCTATCCATTTTGGGTACCTATTGTGACCCACAGCCAGTTTTATGGGCAAAACGAGCTCACCATTTCTTGAAGTTTCGAGCGAGCGCTTTCGCGATCAGGGCAGGTGGGCCATGTAGGTAGGATGGTTTTGGAATTGCAAGAAACATCACTTTAGAGGTGGTACTGTGGGGGGTGGACGAAATCCTGCACCACTTGGGATAGATGAAGCCCTGTAAATGGTGGGAGAAACGGCCTACGAACTTCAGGATTTCGTCCATCCACAGTAGCAAACATCTTTTTGGTTTTTCTCTTAGGTGTCACCATAGACACTACACATTTCGCTCCAAATTCAGTGTGGGACTTCGAAAGTTATTGCTCGCCCACCGCTTTGATTTGTGGATTCTGTATACAGGCCGATGTTTCCCCATTTGCATAGCTGTAAGTGCCTGTAGCATGAATAGAGGCGTTTGTCTTTCAGGGTTTGAATTCTTGTATACTGAATTGCAGATGCTTTGCGGCTTCTTTCGCGGTGCGTTTTTGGTGTCAACACTAGCTCCCAGCAAAGCGTCCCTTATAAAACCCCCTCAAAGGGGGCCAACATTTAGACCCCTGCCAGACTCAAAGGGGCGCTCTGATCCGAATGTGGATTATTTTCTCCGACTCACAGAATGAATGCCAGCAGTCAGCGAATAGCCCGATGCAGCCTGATTGGCCCCAGCGCCCGGCTTGCTTGATCCGAAGTGTCGTCATTGGGACGGCCGCCGTCAAGCGACTTTGTCGCGTCAATCATTCGGCAGGATTCAAGGGGGATCGCTAGAACCAGCTTGGGGAGCTCTTGGGGAAAAGTGGGCTAGAAATTCAAGGGAATGCTAAAACTAGTTTAGGGAGGTCTTGGGGAAAAGTTGGCCAGGAAGACTCCACAGGAATGCAATGTAGTGGACATTGGAGTCCTAAAGGCGGGGTTACCATTTCATAGAATAAAATTATCAACGCGGCTTGATTGAGAGAGTGTTAGCCTTGTGCATTGAACTTGGCCAAACACTCCAGGTAGCACAGTGACGGAAGCAGCAACGCCAGAAGCTTTGCAACTTGGAGAAGATACCTTTTCGGTTCCCTTCTTAGCCCCGATCATATTTTTCCACGCGGAGGGAATCTCGATATGGTGAAGATGCTTGTACCTGCCTTGTAAGACCTGTTTTGTCATGTTTTGCCTTTGGGTTTGCCCATGCCTCGCCAGGTTGGGCGTTGTTTTACTCCCCGCAGCAGCTCTTGCAGAGGCCAGTCCGGGCACAGAATCCCTTTGGTCTGCCAAAGGCCATCGCGAGCAAACCAGCCATTCTTCCCAGACCAGGACAGGCGTCATTATTTTGACGGCTTCTGGGGTTATCAGAGTCAGAAATGGGGTTGTTTCCCTTCAACCCACCACTTAGGGGTGACTTGAACCATGGTAAAGCAATGAGGCTGGCAGGAGGTAATCTTTGCGTTTGTCGCACTGCTCGACCCCGTTCAAAGAAACATCCCGGCTGAACATGGTGCCGAAGCTCGAAGCCACGCCGAAACACAGATCCACTGCGGCCTCGACGCCCCTTGAAGGTTTGGTGATGTAGCTCTCCGATGGTCAACCCCAAGTCCGATTCTAGAGTCACTGGCTAGTGGGTAAATTGCAATTCCAGGTCGACCTAAACGATTTTCATGTCCTTTTTGCGTTTGCCGAAGCATCAGCTCAGGATTCTGGCAACATTGACTTGTTTCAGCACTGGATTTGAGTTGAAACCTGGCAGCCATGCTATTCTGCTTCCTCGTCTTTGCAATGCTCCCATCAACGGCTGAAACAAAAGCGTAGGCAAGTTCTCATGGGTGCTGTGCTCCTGATCATCCTCCTTTCCGTCCTCTGCCCGATGCCTAGCTTTACGGTGGCTACAGGAGTTTGCAAGTCCTGCGACCAATGGTGGGAGCACGTGACTGAACGTGTGTGTGTGTGTGTGTGCTATGAGATCGAGGTTCCGTGTTGCTTTTGCGGTTTGCACAGTAGTTTACGGCTACACAAGTTCATGTTACTTTGCAGCCAAGGTCTCAGGTTTATCAAGGAGGCAGCACATTGCAGGTGAACAAACGCGTCCAAGATGATACCCGGGAACTCCGACGAGCATTCTTGAATTCTAACTTGAGATCTCGCAGGCCTTGATCCCGCAACGTAATTCCATGCAATTTGGACAAGCTTGATGATCCTGACATGGTTGAATCATCGTGGCAAACAACAATGTGATTCAGGCCAGGTATGTATTCTTTGAAAGACCCAACCAAACTCTGATTGGAAGCCAAGGCGAATTGCACGAGGTTCTTTTCCATGACTGGAGCGCTCAGATCTATATGTACGAGGCCGGAAGCGGGCTGTTGATTGCGACCATGTCAAGGAATGCGTCTGTGGACATATGTTGGGACCTTCACGAGAGCCGGCGGGCGCTGGCTCCAAGAGTCGATGCAACTTGTTTGCGGCTAGGGATTGGACAACTGCCGTGAAGTAGAGCATAAAGCGCTCCATCGGATCACTGGAGGGATCAAGAAGTCACCGGAGCTTGCCCACGGACGCTGCCAGAACTGGTCTGGCATCATCATCCTCATGCTGAATTGCTGCATCTTCTTGGAGGCTGGATTGGTACAGCCGGTTGCGCCCGAGCGGCCAAGGCAAAAACCAGGGCGCGTTGTAAATGGTTTCCTTTTCAACCATCCAAGGGTGCCTTTTAAGAAAAAGCACACATAGTCACATAACATAACCAGGTGGTTGGCTGGCCATGGCCATTCATTCTGAATTGAGTTGTCCCAATCGTAAGGCTCTCAGGGATCCATGGTGCGGACCGCGAAGGAAATGGCCCCAAAGTGGGCGGGGCATATTTTGGCGAAGGTTGGCACGTTTAAAAAAGAGCGGTGAGGATATTTGCCTTCTGATTTTTCACTTTCGTTTGGTAGACCACTTACCAGATGTTTTTTGGCAGGGATTATGACTACTTTTGTTGGATTGCTGGATGGCCAACTACACATCGGCCAAATCTCTGGGCGTTTTGGTGTCGGATCCTTTGAGGTGCATGGGAGCAAGCTGTTGCTCTCTCTCTCTCTCTCTGTGATGGTTACTGCAAAGTGGTTGTGTGCATGAAAACAAATGGCTGTGGTTCAAAATTGAAGCAGGTGCTGCTCCATGTTTCCACTTATCAGGGTTCCATTTTGGTCCCGGTTTTTGAGCCACAGCCAAATGGCAAGAAGCAAGACAACCTGCAACAACCTGACTATGGCTTCGCTTTTGGCCGGCGTGAGGCCTGGCGGTCTATGCGCGAGACCTTCTTGCTGGAGGTCAGGGAATGTGCGAGTCTGTTTAAGAAACCCTCATCCCACCACACATTTCTGCCCTATTCCACCAGCCAGCAAGAACGCTCCCCAGGGCCCCAACGAACACTTTCAGAAGCACTTGCTTGGCCGTTGCTGGCGTACTGGCCTGCTAATCAGTCTCTCCCAGCAGGGGAACCTACGTAGGCCGAACAAGAATGGCATGGGGTTTCGGGCTACTTCAAAGCCAAATCTACCAGGGTATTACGGTATTGATCTTGATAGTGGTAAAGCCATGATATAAACTATGATATAATCTATGAGTATTCATAGTGATAGTGGTAAAGCTATGATACAAACCATGATATAAACCATGAATGTATACTTTACCTCTACGTATACAGGGGTGATTCTAGCCGTAGAACTACGTTAGAGCTTGGGTGTCCGTCGGCTTTCAGCGTCTGCCCTGAGACCTCCGACGAGATGCGCCGCTTCTACGCAGCGCCGGCGGTGGTTCAGACGGGGACGTTTCGTGAAAGTGACGTGGAAGCCCCAAGAAAGGCTCTACTCTTCTTTTTTTTAAAATACATGTTTGTTTCTTCTCCTTTTTTCTAGGGGTTCATTGGTCATATGAATACGTATATACTACTGTATACATGCTAATGTGGTGGCGTTGGACTAGGCAGAAAGTAAGATGTTTGGAGTATCATTGCCAGAGGCGCTGTTGGAAAGCTCTGACAGCTCGGCGCCGGCTTGCTTTGCTTTTTTGATGCCAAATTTGAGAACTTTCTGAACAAGTTGTCACAGCAGCGTCCGAGACTTCGAGTGACGTGGATGGCAGCGATTCAGTTCGTTTCTCAAAATGAGTTGGAGCCCTCCAGGCGCTTTGGTTCCTTTTGGTTAAACACCCCTCGGTTTTTGTTGCAAAAGCGGACCACTTTTGAGAAGCCCTTCATGATCTAGGCGTTCATCCTCAGCACTTAGTTTTGCCAAGGACTGGTGCCATCTACTTTCGTTAGCTGAAATTGTTCAGCTCGCCAGGTCTACGTCTCGGGTGTCTCGATCCTGTGCGCCGGGAAGAGGCAGACACTCTCAAAACTTGGCTCCCGAAGGCCATCCGGTTCCTCAGCCTTTTGGCTTTGTAGTGCTTAGTGCTAGTTTCCATTTAACCCACTAAGAGTTTTCCGCTTTTAGCGGGGGATCTGAGGGCAGCCCAGAAAAGGAGGGTTTGCCTCTCTTTTTGGGTTCTCTTTCAAGCAAGCATCAAGATATCAACACACCCATTGGGGTTCAGATGCGGCTCAGGTACTTCCTGACCCTGCCGTTGGTGTGCCTACTGGCATCCATGCTGGCCAGATGGGTCCGTGCCAAGTACGTGGACCGCGCCGAGGCCGGACCCTTCGCGTCGGAAGTGTTCCCAGGACCGTCGGCCGGTTCGGGGGAGTTGGGGAAGCCGCTTGGGGCGCTTGTGGTGTTGGGCGACGTAGCCCCATCAAGAAGAACCTTGCTTCGTGGTCCAGCTGAAGCTCCAGCCTTCGAGCAATCAGAGGGCGGCGCTTTTGCGCACGGGCGACCCTCCGCGGCGCAGGTGGGATGCCGGTTTCTCGCGACTTTGCTTCTGGCGTGGCTGCTCAGGCTGGGGGCTTTATGCGGACTGAGTCTCGGACGGCAAATTTCGCAGGCGGTTCCAGGTGCCACATGGCCAGGCCCTGTCACTAGTAGTTTGGTCCGGAATGCGTTTGAGCTGCTTCCCCGGAAGAGGCGACTTGATGCATAGCTCGCATACGGCTTTCAGTTGTGAGCTGAGTGTGGGCCAACAAAAAGGTACCCAAAACGGAACCCTGGTAAGTGGAAACATGGACTGAAACCTGCGGTCCGCTGGTGGTTTCACTTTGACCCATACCCAGCTGTACGACATTGATCGAGGCTTGTGGAGCACCCTATTGATCAACTTATGATACAGCTTGACTCCGGAGATGTGGCTGATTGCGAGGCCGGCCAGGATGGACGCGATGATCAACGCACGCATGGAGGAGCCTCTGCGGACAGATTTGCCTCTGAATTGTGTATCTCCTCGCCTTGCTGAATTCTTTCCAAGAATTGCACTATTCTTGGTGAAGCTTACTGAAGCATCAAAAGAGCAAGCAAGCCAATTGCATTTGCAGAGCCTCCGAATGCTGATGCAAAGCCGTATGCGCCACAAACACTCGCCCTTCAAGGAACGCGTGTGAAAGTGCGCTGAACATGTCAGGGATTCTGCCTGCTGAGCAAGCAGAGAATGTGCTGTTGCTCGTAGGGACAGGTTGAGAAGCAACAGAACGACATCGGCAAAGGAGTTTGCTGTTAGCTTTCTATTCCTGGGTCAACATTAATAGAGAGGTTTGTTTGACCCTACATTTGCCCTACGTTTGCCCGCTTTACCCTGCCCCGGAGCGGATTGTCCATTTGGAGCAGCATTTGTTCTGTCGATTTCCACTCCAGGAGTCTGTCGAGACACTGGGCGAGCCTTGTGAGGAAGCGGCAGCCTGAGAGGGTAAGGCATGCAAACATTCAGCTGCCAAATGCGGACTCCCCGTTTGGCGGAGTCTTGAAGAGCTACATGCATTTGGCCGGTGGGCGTCTTCCAGCGCAAGCCAGCGGAAACTGCGCCTGTAGACACACCAGTGAGCATGTGTCCTTCCCACGGACATCAGAACCACTTCTCAATTTCAGTGCCCAAAAGTGGGGGGTGAACTCTTGTCGGCTCAGACAACTTGTCGCATGAACCGCCTGGGTCAAAAACCCTGGGGCTGCTTCACCGCCGCCTGAGCGCGCGCATGGTGAGGCACAGATCATCGCGGCCTCGGGCAGCGTGCCGCTGCGCCAGGGCGCGGCCGGGATCGGCTGAGACGATTTGGCCTTGTCGTTGTTTTTCTTCTTTTTCTTTTTTTAAACAAATCTAGGCAGGGAATGAAGGGAATGACCATGAATGACCCCAAGAAGAACGATCCTTGTGTTGTTTTCCTCTGAGGGAAGCCACTTCCGGTTCGTTCCCAAGACCCGGAATGGTCATTCCCGACTGGGCACCGGCAAGTTTTGCTTGGAGCGATTCCACTTCAGGGGGAAATGGAGGGAAAGCCATGAAGCTCCTCACGGGACATGTTTCCCGCTGTCACGTGGCGACGGACGTGCTATGGCCATCCCAAGGCATGTGGGGACAGCAGAAATCACTTGCGAATCTTTTTAGGTTCACCACGTCGTGTTGTAGGGGCCCCACATGCGTCCTTCTACTCCCTCCGGTTGGGAGGACCTTCCTTCAAGTCTTCCATGGGGAAGCTTCCTCTCAAAGGAGGGACCTCATAGTCGCCCACTGACATTTTCTTTTGCAAGGTCAGGTTCCACGCTTGTTTATCGAAGTGTGAGTCACACTCTCCTTGGAGCTTGAGCTGAAACACAGCGAATTTCCCATTGGGACACGTACATTGCGGGGTTTTCCTTGGCCAGCAGAAGTGGCCAGCTCCATTGTGGCCACTGATTGAAACTGCCAGGCGCGGACAGAAGTCCGGAGGCTGCGCAGGCACACCGGGCATGGCGCGGACCCATGGATTTCAGCCAGGTTGTTGGTTTGTTCTTGGGTTTTGCTTTCTTTCTTTTCTTTCTTGCTGTTGTTGCCTGTTTCAGGCCTTGTTGCTTCTTTGTTTTCTCTCTTCCCCTCTTCCTCTCCCTGTTTTTCTTTCATTATTTCTTTATTCCTGTCTTCCTTTCCTTTCCTTCTTCCCTTCCCTTCCCTTCCCTTCCCTTCCCTTCCCTTCCCTTCCCTTCCCTTCCCTGCCCTTCCCTTCCCTTCCCTTCCCTTTTTTTTCTTTCTTGCTTTCTTTCTTGTATTCCTCTGCCTCTCTCCCTCTCTTCTCTCTCTCTCGTCGTCGTCTTCTCTGCTGCTTCTCCTTCTCTCCTCCTCCTCCTCCTCCTCCTCCTCCTTCTTTTTCGTCTTCTTCTTCTTCTTCTTCTTCTCTGTCTTTCTTTCCCATACTTGCCCTTTTTTCCCTTTCCTTCCAATTCTGTTCGTGCTTGTTTATTTATTTCCTTTTTCCCCTCCCCTCCCTCCCCTCCCCTCCCCCCTCCCCTCCCCTCCCCTCCCCTCCCCCTCCCCTCCCCCCTCCCCTCCCCCTCCCCCCCCCTCCCCTCCCCTCCCCTCCCCTCCCCTCCCTTCCTCCCTCCCTCCCCGTAATGAGAGACTGCCTCCCTCAGACTTCCAACGCACAGGCGCCCAATAGCGGCCTGCCGCAGGAGTGAGCGAGTGAGGCCACGGGCCAAAAACGACTGCGCATGGCATTCCAACTTCCATGTGGATAGTTCGGGATCAGGGTTGTGTACCCTCTGTCCAACAATGATGGAAGTGGACGATCCTGGGCTTCCTCAAAATGAAAGTAGTCTTCCAAAACCCTCCGATCGTCAGCTTCCATGATTTGCTGGAGGGAGGGAGGGAGGGTAGTAGATTTGCACCTGCAACAAGACTGGAACCTGAAAAACAGAGCCAGACATGGAACATGTTTTGCAATTTTTAGCCTACGTATGAGATGCCGTTTTCGCCGGATGGGCGCGGTTGGATGGCCTGAACACATCAGCTCTGCATGCTCGCAACTGGGGCAAGGGCCTGTGTCCATGTGGGTGTGCGTTCGCTTGTTGGGGTTGTTTTAAAGGGACGCCAGAAGGAACCACCCATTCTTGGGCCCCCCCTGGTTTGGCATTTATTAATTTTAGTGAAGCTTCTACCGCCGTTGCAATGAATGCTTGTCCAGATGAGACCTCGGGTCCATGCGGTCGGGAGGCGCTCGAGCCCACATGCGTAGAGTTTCATGGTCGCCTGTGTCAAGTGCAAGTGACACGAAACAGTTGCCCGTTTTGGCGCAAGCTTGCTTTTTACACGATTTACGCCTTGGTTTTCCAGCTCGAGCCTAAGCAGGTCTCTCTTTTGCGGTCAAAAGACCGTAACAAGTTCTACATTCTCGTCGGTTCTTTACGATCCTCCGTTTTTACCATGTTCGCTGTGGTGGTCAGCCTGGTCCTGTTGTCGGCTGAAGCTGGCAGCATTCGCGGCCGGGAGGAGGGGCGAACCATTGCGGTAAAGGATGTCCAGGCGGACTTACAAGATGCCATGGAGGCCGTGCTACGTGGGGATTCTGCGTCCAAGCGCGTGGCCAACATTGAGGCGCGTGTGTGGCAGACATTCCAGGCCTTGCCCAAGAACGAAGTGGGGCGTTTGGCTCCGCGTGGTGTGCGATACCTTGTGCACAGCTACTTCATGAAGGAGCACGGCTGGCTGATCAAGGGCTTGGACCCGCACGGCAACCAGGATGAAGTGTCGGACGTGCAGGACGCAAGCATCTTGCAAGACAAGGCTCCCGCGCTGGTCGAGTCGCTGTTGGAGGCAAGACGATCCAATCATGGGCTGGCCTTGAACGATGTCATCACCATGATTGCCACTCTAGAGCGCTTGATCTTTGACGAGTCCTTCACTCTCCTTCAAGCTGCCTACAACTTCAACGGTGTGAGCATGGATGGCTCAGTAGAGCAGAAGAGCGTTCACGACGTCCTCACCTCTTACCTCCTGCTTTTCCAGCTGGGAAACAAGGGCAACCTCACTGATGCAAGGCTTCACCGTGCATTGAAGGCGCGGGTGTCCCAGAGGGATGATTGGCTCGTGGTTGACGAGTTCCAGAGGGATGCCGTGCTGAACCATGACTTTGCCAAGCAGTCCCGCTCCAATCCATTTGTGGAGCCACTCTATACCTTCCAGGCGGGCGCTTTATTTTTCAAGTTTGCGGTTCCAAAGAGATTTGTGTAGCACCACTGGCGCATCCCGGCGTTAGTGGGAAGTTTCATTGCTTAAGAAAGGGGAGCGGAGATGGGGGAGGAGAGAAGAGTGGGGCACGCTGCCACACTGCCAGGACAGCTCTGACATTGTGGAAGAGCTTGCCCACGGCTACGGGAAGTGGCAGAACACGGAGTGTCGGCAGATGAAGGATGACTTGATGGAGCTGGACAGTGATGGTGACGGCCGCATTCCCATCGGGAAGTTCTACGGCCGCTCTGATAACACCAAGTATCAGTTCACCGAGTCCCTGCAGTACTTGCAGGACATTGGGGCACTGGACGAGAGCGGATCAGAGAAGAAGGTGCGCATTTCAAACTACCTGCAAGGACCCTCGAATTGCATTGCCTCATCGACGTACTACTCGATTTGCTGTCTCAGTGAGTGCGATGGCTTGTTGAATGAGTTGGAGGCAAAGATTGGAGCTCCCACGGTGGATCCCATGCATTTGCTGCGGCTGGTGGGAAACATGTCTTCATCCACGGTGGACACTCCAAGGCAGCTGCCGGTTTTCATGGCCCAGCGGTTGAAGAGCATTGCTGACCAGAATGGTGGCGGGGTGCCTTTGCATGGACGGCTGTTTTCGGAATGGCTCCACTACGCCTTTCCGAACGAGTGCCCGTACCCACACATCCTGGAAGCCAAGACTTTGACACCCTCCCACTGGGCAAACAAGAAAGTGTCTGTGGAGCCGGAGACTCGATCGGAGCTTGCTTCCACGGCTGCGGAGGAGGAGGACAGCTTGCCGAAGGAGATCGTGTGGAGTTCTCAGGAAGTGCTGCACGTGCAGGAGACCAAGAAACGGTCCACCTCAGTCTTCAGAACCATCATGCAGCTGGCAGTTCTGTTGGCGGTGTTGCGTGCAGCCATCGGCAACTGGGCAACTCTCCGCAGCATGGTGGCTCCAACGAAGGGGAAGAAGTGCGACGACTTTCAGCTTCCCTTCTGAAGAGCGCCTTGTGTTTCTCACCCTGCAAAGATTGAGCCATCGTGCACCGAAAGCGGAGAAATCGGATTGTGGCCAGCATGTGCACAAGCAGAAGGGATGCATATATTTTTAGTGGGTAGAATTGCCTGGCTGCCTTTGCTGTGTCCAGTGCAAGTGACACGAAACAGTTGCCCGTTTTGGCGCAAGCTTGCTTTTTGCACGATTTACGCCTTGGTTTTCCAGCTCGAGCCTAAGCAGGTCTCTCTTTTGCGGTCAAAAGACCGTAACAAGTTCTACATTCTCGTCGGTTCTTTACGATCCTCCGTTTTTACCATGTTCGCTGTGGTGGTCAGCCTGGTCCTGTTGTCGGCTGAAGCTGGCAGCATTCGCGGCCGGGAGGAGGGGCGAACCATTGCGGTAAAGGATGTCCAGGCGGACTTGCAAGATGCAATGGAGGCGGTGCTACGTGGGGATTCTGCGTCCAAGCGCGTGGCCAACATTGAGGCGCGTGTGTGGCAGACATTCCAGGCCTTGCCCAAGAACGAAGTGGGGCGTTTGGCTCCGCGTGGTGTGCGATACCTTGTGCACAGCTACTTCATGAAGGAGCACGGCTGGCTGATCAAGGGCTTGGACCCGCACGGCAACCAGGATGAAGTGTCGGACGTGCAGGACGCAAGCATCTTGCAAGACAAGGCTCCCGCGCTGGTCGAGTCGCTGTTGGAGGCAAGACGATCCAATCATGGGCTGGCCTTGAACGATGTCATCACCATGATTGCCACTCTAGAGCGCTTGATCTTTGACGAGTCCTTGACCCTCCTTCAAGCTGCCTACAACTTCAACGGTGTGAGCATGGATGGCTCAGTAGAGCAGAAGAGCGTTCACGACGTCCTCACCTCTTACCTCCTGCTTTTCCAGCTGGGAAACAAGGGCAACCTCACTGATGCAAGGCTTCACCGTGCATTGAAGGCGCGGGTGTCCCAGAGGGATGATTGGCTCGTGGTTGACGAGTTCCAGAGGGATGCAGTGCTGAACCATGACTTTGCCAAGCAGTCCCGCTCCAATCCATTTGTGGAGCCACTCTATACCTTCCAGGCGGGCGCCGTTTATTTCAAGTTTGCGGTTCCAAAGAGATTTGTGTAGCACAACTGGCGCATCCCGGCGTTGATGGGATGTTTCATTGCTTAAAAAAGGGGAGCGGAGATGGGGGAGGAGAGAAGAGTGGAGCACGCTGCCACACTGCCAGGACAGCTCTGACATTGTGGAAGAGCTTGCCCACGGCTACGGAAAGTGGCAGAACACGGAGTGTCGGCAGATGAAGGATGACTTGATGGAGCTGGACAGTGATGGTGACGGCCGCATTCCCATCGGGAAGTTCTATGGCCGCTCTGATAACACCAAGTATCAGTTCACCGAGTCCCTGCAGTACTTGCAGGACATTGGGGCACTGGACGAGAGTGGATCAGAGAAGAAGGTGCGCATTTCAAACTACCTGCAAGGACCCTCGAATTGCATTGCCTCATCGACGTACTACTCGATTTGCTGTCTCAGTGAGTGCGATGGCTTGTTGAATGAGTTGGAGGCAAAGATTGGAGCTCCCACGGTGGATCCCATGCATTTGCTGCGGCTGGTGGGAAACATGTCTTCATCCACGGTGGACACTCCAAGGCAGCTGCCGGTTTTCATGGCCCAGCGGTTGAAGAGCATTGCTGACCAGAATGGTGGCGGGGTGCCTTTGCATGGACGGCTGTTTTCGGAATGGCTCCACTACGCCTTTCCGAACGAGTGCCCGTACCCTCACATGCTGGAAGCCAAGACTTTGACACCCTCCCACTGGGCAAACAAGAAAGTGTCTGTGGAGCCGGAGACTCGATCGGAGCTTGCTTCCACGGCTGCGGAGGAGGAGGACAGCTTGCCGAAGGAGATCGTGTGGAGTTCTCAGGAAGTGCTGCACGTGCAGGAGACCAAGAAACGGTCCACCTCAGTCTTCAGAACCATCATGCAGCTGGCAGTTCTGTTGGCGGTGTTGCGTGCAGCCATCGGCAACTGGGCAACTCTCCGCAGCATGGTGGCTCCAACGAAGGGGAAGAAGTGCGACGACTTTCAGCTTCCCTTCTGAAGAGCGCCTTGTGTTTCTCACCCTGCAAAAGATTGAGCCATCGTGCACCGAAAGCGGAGAAAATCGGATTGTGGCCAGCATGTGCACAAGCAGAAGGGATGCATATATTTTTAGTGGGTAGAATTGCCTGGCCGCCTTTGCTGTGTCCAGTGCAAGTGACACGAAACAGTTGCCCGTTTTGGCGCAAGCTTGCTGTTTACACGATTTACGCCTTGGTTTTCCAGCTCGAGCCTAAGCAGGTCTCTCTTTTGCGGTCAAAAGACCGTAACAAGTTCTACATTCTCGTCGGTTCTTTACGATCCTCCGTTTTTACCATGTTCGCTGTGGTGGTCAGCCTGGTCCTGTTGTCGGCTGAAGCTGGCAGCATTCGCGGCCGGGAGGAGGGGCGAACCATTGCGGTAAAGGATGTCCAGGCGGACTTGCAAGATGCCATGGAGGCGGTGCTACGTGGGGATTCTGCGTCCAAGCGCGTGGCCAACATTGAGGCGCGTGTGTGGCAGACCTTCCAGGCCTTGCCCAAGAACGAAGTGGGGCGTTTGGCTCCGCGTGGTGTGCGATACCTTGTGCACAGCTACTTCATGAAGGAGCACGGCTGGCTGATCAAGGGCTTGGACCCGCACGGCAACCAGGATGAAGTGTCGGACGTGCAGGACGCAAGCATCTTGCAAGACAAGGCTCCCGCGCTGGTCGAGTCGCTGTTGGAGGCAAGACGATCCAATCATGGGCTGGCCTTGAACGATGTCGTCACCATGATTGCCACTCTAGAGCGCTTGATCTTTGACGAGTCCTCGACCCTCCTTCAAGCTGCCTACAACTTCAACGGTGTGAGTATGGATGGCTCAGTAGAGCAGAAGAGCGTTCACGACGTCCTCACCTCTTACCTCCTGCTTTTCCAGCTGGGAAACAAGGGCAACCTCACTGATGCAAGGCTTCACCGTGCATTGAAGGCGCGGGTGTCCCAGAGGGATGATTGGCTCGTGGTTGACGAATTCCAGAGAGATGCCGTGCTGAACCATGACTTTGCCAAGCAGTCCCGCTCCAATCCATTTGTGGAGCCACTCTATACCTTCCAGGCGGGCGCTTTATTTTTCAGGTTTGCGCTTCCAAAGAGATTTGTGTAGCACCACTGGCGCATCCCGGCGTTGATGGGATGTTTCTTTGCTTAAGAAAGGGGAGCGGAGATGGGGGAGGAGAGAAGAGTGGAGCACGCTGCCACACTGCCAGGACAGCTCTGACATTGTGGAAGAGCTTGCCCACGGCTACGGGAAGTGGCAGAACACGGAGTGTCGGCAGATGAAGGATGACTTGATGGAGCTGGACAGTGATGGTGACGGCCGCATTCCCATCGGGAAGTTCTATGGCCGCTCTGATAACACCAAGTATCAGTTCACTGAGTCCCTGCAGTACTTGCAGGACATTGGGGCACTGGACGAGAGTGGATCAGAGAAGAAGGTGCGCATTTCAAACTACCTGCAAGGACCCTCGAATTGCATTGCCTCATCGACGTACTACTCGATTTGCTGTCTCAGTGAGTGCGATGGCTTGTTGAATGAGTTGGAGGCAAAGATTGGAGCTCCCACGGTGGATCCCATGCATTTGCTGCGGCTGGTGGGAAACATGTCTTCATCCACGGTGGACACTCCAAGGCAGCTGCCGGTTTTCATGGCCCAGCGGTTGAAGAGCATTGCTGACCAGAATGGTGGCGGGGTGCCTTTGCATGGACGGCTGTTTTCGGAATGGCTCCACTACGCCTTTCCGAACGAGTGCCCGTACCCACACATCCTGGAAGCCAAGACTTTGACACCCTCCCACTGGGCAAACAAGAAAGTGTCTGTGGAGCCGGAGACTCGATCGGAGCTTGCTTCCACGGCTGCGGAGGAGGAGGACAGCTTGCCGAAGGAGATCGTGTGGAGTTCTCAGGAAGTGCTGCACGTGCAGGAGACCAAGAAACGGTCCACCTCAGTCTTCAGAACCATCATGCAGCTGGCAGTTCTGTTGGCGGTGTTGCGTGCAGCCATCGGCAACTGGGCAACTCTCCGCAGCATGGTGGCTCCAACGAAGGGGAAGAAGTGCGACGACTTTCAGCTTCCCTTCTGAAGAGCGCCTTGTGTTTCTCACCCTGCAAAAGATTGAGCCAGCGTGTTTCACCGAGCGATGAGGAGAAACATGATGCGGTGCTCATGGCAGAAAAGGACGTGCCACACCTAGGGACTCCATGTTTGCGATTTACCCAGACAGATGGTCAAGACAGACTTTCGCATGCTCTCATTCACATACATGTTGACCGGGGTTCACATTTTTATTCTATTTTAATCGGTTGTCTACTTGGCTTGTTTTGCAGCTTCGTGACCGCGACACAGCTGGCTCTCTGCGCGACATTCGCAGCTTTTGCATCTTTCCATTCAAGGGCTGCAGCACTTCAATTCATCCGAGTCAGATGGCTGCAGTTCAAATCTGTAGCAGGAAGCCAGAAGAAAAGTTGCAGTCGAACCGGTCACGCTGGCACTCGCAAACAAGTGGCAGCACTTTGGCCCTTGCCGGGCCTCAAATCGGCAACAATGAAAGCGTCACTTTCACGGAGTTTCCTCAAGTTGCAGCCTGCAACTTTTCTACATGGTGCACTTGCACATCGGAATGTTATGAGCGATGAGGCCGGCACGGGCCAATCTGCGGTTGGCAGGATGCGTCCATATCATTGCACAGAAAATGGTAGACTTCTTGACGCCCTGCGCATAGAAACTGCCACCGAAAGTTTCAAAGGGAACCGGAGGAAACTGAGACTCTTTCCAATCAGGGTCCTTTCCACTTTTGTGAACAGGGGTCATCGAGTGATCCTTCCGGGCGGGGTTTTCTTTTTCTGTGCCTTGCTAGCGACTTGGTGCAACAATCACGACAACCCAGCAATCTAGCTACCCTGATCCTGACTTGGATACTTGGGGCTATACGCAAAGAATCAACCAACCAACCAACCAACCAACCAACCAACCAACCAACCAACC